TGGATCACGTGGCCCGCCTGGGTCCTGAGGTCCACCACGGCCACCTCCATCATCTGAGGGTCCCGATCCCCCCGGACTCCCTGGAGGCGGTTTATCTGGTCGTTTAGCGTTATCGTCGTCGCGCGTCGACATGATCTCAGTGCTCGGCGCGTCACTCTCGCCATCCCCTTCTTTGTCCTGTCCTGCCCCGCCAGATGGCTTAGCCGCTGGCGGCCTCGCAGGTCCATCCCTGGAACATGGATAATAATTGACAAATCAGTCATCGTTGTTGGATCCTGTCAATTTCATGTTGATTGGTAAGCCATTACCAGGGGTACTCGGCTTAGCCGGACCCTCGAGAGCAGGACCAGGAACGGTAAAGTTGGGTCGCATCATAGACCTCACAGGAGTTTCTGGTGAAAGTAATGGCATATCGAACGAACTTAAGGTGGGCACTTTTTCTTGTCCACTTTCAGTGTACGGAAATGGATTTGCGATGGTAGCTTTAACTTCATCACTCTTTTCTCTGACTCGGCTGCATTTGTTATGGCCCCACCGTCTCGGATATTGGCAGCTGACCTTTCAATCTTCTTTGGAGTACATGTAGTGCATCTTTTGGCGTTCGCATCGACATGATCTTTGCAGGCCGGCAATCCACAACCAGCGCAATCGTCCGCCTTCGGGTTGAAGCGAACTGAGCAACACTGAAAAACTGAGAAACTCGCTGTGCCAGTCTCGCCCCGTTTCTCAGGCTGTGGTTGCGGTGCAGCCCTCACCTGCAACGTCGACGATCCCGCATTCGTTACGGTCATCAAGTCAGGCTGAGGCGGAACGGACGCTGCGCCGGACGACTGAGCCGTCGGCGATGGTCGTCTGTCCGTCCCAGCCGGCTTAGCCGGCGGGTATGTCTTTGCTCAACTGCACACGCTGGAGGAATGCTCTAGCATTTTCATGTGATTCGAGTTCTTCTCGATATTGATTGTTTTGGTCAGCTATCTTCGCAGCTACAACTTGGGTGTTAACCATTTCCAGCCTGGCGTTTTGAAGCTTTTCTTGAAGTTCCTGCTTTTCTCGTTCCGCCCTGGCTGTAGCGATTTTCTCTCCTTCTACTCTAGCCACCGCAACAGTAGCGGAGACGGTTATGGCGTCGACAGACTGATTAGTCGCCGCCACAACGGCCTGTCGTTCGGAAGCCAGCATCTCGACATATCGGTTTTCGGCTTCTTTCTCCGCCTGCCGCTTAGCGACCGCGGTCTGATGGTGCACCTGTTCCACCAACTCTTGTTCCCGCTCTCTGGCAGCCATGGCTAGAGCGAGCCTTTCAGCCCCGAACGTCTTCCGAACATCTTCAATGGTTGCAATCATCTCCTCTCGATCCAGTCGGGCCCTTTCGGCCCGCTGTGCTTCGCTTGCCAGGAACTCCTGCTGGGCCCTAGCTTCAACAAGTCTAGCCTGGTCCTGAATAGCTTGCATGAGAAGATATGTGCAGTTATGCTCGCTCATGGGGAAGCAATCTACACGCAACCATTGGTTGCTGCATTTAGGGCATGCATCCGAGCAGCTCTTACATACTGGACGCCTACATGCACCTTCTGGCTTATGGGCTTTCCCCGGGCATCTGCTCTCCGCCCGAGGCGCGCAGTCAGATTTCCAGTTCCAGCATGCATCAAGCATGGAGATAGCGCGGTTGCTCCTTGAAGCAGATCGCGCCCCTGACCTCGGCATCTTGGGTCTTCCCCTGCTCGAAGCGTTCGATCGAGGACGCGCGTGCGTACATTCTGGGGGGTTCGGCACCTCTCGAAGCTCCTCATCCCTGTCATCCTGTCTCATAAGCTCAGTGCACGAAGCTGGTTGTTCAACCATTTCTTCATCCTCAACAACAGCCGGCATCGAGGGTTGCCAATCGCCTGAGGCGACGGCGGGACGATAGAAACCTTCTTGAAGCGGTGAATCGTTTAAATCGTAATCCTCGTTCCTCTGCTTCTTGAGTTGGGGTGCAGGAGTCCGTCCTGTAGACCCCCTATCGTGCTTCGCCTGAGATTTTTGTTCGATCTCAGCCTTGTCCGCCTGAGGCGTCAGGTCACTTGTATCTTCATCTGAACCGTCTGGGGACCACCGCTCGCCTTGGGCGGGGTGGTCTGCTTCCATTAACGAGGACAATTCTCGGCTCAAGGAAACTCCTTTGTCGGCGTGGTCGAAATCTCCCTCCATGGAGTTTATTTCATGCTCTCTATCGATTGGCTCATCACTATCCTGGCCAAATTGTCCGTCCAATGCTACTGGGATGGGAACATTTCCACTCGTGCCTCCCCATCCGCCTGGGACGTTGGTGTACGCGCCTGTGGACTTGTGAGCTTTCCCCGATCCACGGGCTTCACCAGCGGCCGGCACGAATGTATGTGCAGCGATCGGAATCGGACTGATCGACTCCGACGATTCGGCGATCAGAGACGAGAGAGCTCCTCGTCTGGATCTCGCTGTTGCGCCATTCCGCCCATGCGGGCCCGGGGTTTGTTCGCGATTACCAATCGGAACTCCAGAGGGAGAGCCATCTTCCGACATCTCAACCTCTTCACTACTCCTACCCAGAGAGACCCGAGTGGCGGTACTAGAAGAAGGAAGGCGGCCCTTCCACGGGCCGCTCTCCTGTAGATCATGTCCGTCATGTTGTACAACTTGCTGTTCAGCGCGTCGCGAAGTGGCGGACATTTCATCTGTCTTATCATAACTCATACCCGCAGCGACTAAGTCACAGGGTTCATCAGAAGACCAGGCTTCTGGCCGACATAAGCCCGCATCGACTATGTCGCGGCTTTCGGCTGATAACCAGTCTTTCCTCTGAGAATCGGGGTAGCATGACAAAGGAATTAAGATGAATTAAGGTCTCATGTTCACGCTGCTCAGTGGAAGAGGGCGCGGGATGAGACATTGATAAGACAAGTAACCGGTAAGCAAGTTTACTCTATCAGGAATAGTAAGTGAGGAGGCCGGCCGGCCGACGACGCGACTACGACTAGGGGGCGACCCCTCGGCGCGCGCGTGCGAGCCAGCGCGCTCCTTTTTAATCTCCTGTGAGCAAACGCACAGCTGCGGAATATTACCGCAATCGTAGTCAGACAGTGCGCAGCAAGGCAAGCGATGTGAAAAGCAGCATGAATATGAGGCGGAGAGGAGCTTATTCACTCAAGCGAGAGCCGGGGAATATCTCAAGCTTTGCCTGCCGCAACGGGAATCCTTCCAGGTGGCGCCGAGACTGTTTCATATTGGCATGTTTGTGGGTCCTGGGGCGACTCTCGAAGACTCCTGGAATGGTCCGAGCAGTACATATCAATCTCGTGCCTAAAACATCGGTCAGGGTGTCCATGCGAGGTCGGTCTCGGGTCAGCTGTACCTCACGCGTGCGTTGCCCACGAGCAGCTATGTTGCCTAATGCCTTCCTCATCCTCGACGGGTGCTTGACTTGGAAATTGGAGTTCTGGCGTCATCGTTTCGTGTTCTGATTGGCACGTTCAGTGCCACAGCCTGGCATTTCTTGCGCGATCGGAATGGCCCGAAGGTCAACCCGATTGCCCAGCTGTGTGCGGCAACTTTGACGCGCATGGCTATCAGTACTGTCCCTGAGTTCAAGCGAGTTCTCTGCTGGCTCTACAGGTGAAACAATGTCGAGGAGAAACGTGATCATTGTCGTCTCACTGTTCCTCAGAACCGTCGTTATCCTGCTCATTGGAAATGTCGTGCGTACGTTGACTTCCTGGAATATGAGTGAAATCATACATATAGTCCTGCTGGCCACCTTGCAGTCGCCGCCGCACGCGCTGCCCTTCATGCCATCCCTCATAAAAAAAACATGCAGCGCTCTGCATTCCAGGCCTGTTGTTCGGCGCTGCTACCCTGGACCTCTTCCGACAAAGAATGAAGAAATGGTGGCCGGACCGAGTGCGAGATCGATGCTGTGAACTTCGAGCCCACTCGCCAGCTTCTCGAGACCGTTCCGCCGTCGTGGGCCTGGGCCTGGGCCTGGTTGCGCACCGCTGCAGGAGGGTGGATGACGACACACAGAATTCGGAGTGAGAGAGGACAAGGCACTTGTATTCTAGGCTGCACAGATTGTCTAGATCGCCAGTGCCACTCTGCTACCTGTCCTCGTTTGTCTGCTGCCTTTTTCGCTCGTTCTTCAGTATCGTTCTCTGGCCTCGGACCCTTTAACGCGAGCTCAGCCAGGCCCCGCCAAACCACATTTCGGCGGCCAAGACTGCTTTGCACGACCTCAGGCTTACACGGCCTGAGCAAGGAGTGGAGGCCCGTAGGGGAGGGACGTCGTCGTCGTCGTCGTTCGCTTCGTTTCTCCTCCTCCTCCTTGTTCTCCTCCTCCTCCCCTCCTCCTGCGAAGTGCGCGGCTCCTCCCCTCCTCCTTCTCCTTCCGGAGTCGCGCACCTCTTCCTCTGAGGGGCAGGACCGAGCGGGCGAGGGCCAGGGGGGTCCTCTGCCCCATCTCCGCCTCTTCATCCCTTCTCTGATCTTCTCCTGTCCTCCCAGTCATTCCCCTCCTCCTCCTCCTCCTGCTCCTCCTCCTCCTTCTCCTCCTTCTCCCCCTCATCCGACTCCTCATCGTTCGGCGGCGAACCCGGGGGGAAGTGGGAAGGGGCGGGCCTACTCATAAGGCTCGGAAATCCCCGGGCCTTCTGAGAAGTTGTCTAAGCCTTCCTGGAAGACATAGAGAACCTCCCAGGAGGCGCGAGGGCTTCTGAGAAGTCCCGCCGCCTTCTGAGAAGGCCTTCTCCTTCTCACTGCCCCTCCTCACTCGCCGCCGATCCTCCCTCCCCAGATCTCCGACGACATGTTTTTTTCAGTCGGCGGTCACTCTTCGATTTCGCACAGCCTTTCCTTCGATTCCGGCCGTCGGGGGCCTCTTGCGGGCCCCAGGGCCATCAAGAAACGGATTCGAGATGCAAAATTGTCTCCTCCTCCTCCTCCTGCCTCTTCTTTCCCCTGCCTCCTCGCTCGGAAGTCGACCCCGTGACCTCTCGGGGCCGCGCATGGCCGCGATCTCGAGGCTCCCTCCTGCCGTGGCAACGGGGAGGGGGGCGCGCCCCTGGAGGCGCCCAAAGACGACAAACCGACCCTGGAAAAGCGGCCGTCCTCGATAATCAATCCTCTTTCCCCTCCTCCTCTGCCTCCTCCTCCTCCTCCTCCTCCTCCTCCTCCTCCTTGTCCTCCTCCTCATCCTCCTCCGCCTCCTCCGCTCCTCCTCCTCGTCCTCCTCCTCCCTGTCCTCCTCCTCCTCCTCCTCCTCCTCCTCCTCTTCCTCTCCTCCTCTCCTCATCCCTCCTTCCTCCTCCCTCCTCCTCCTCCTCCTCTCCCCTCCGCCTCCTCCAATCTCTATCCTCCTCCTCCTTGTCCTCCCTTCCTCCCCTTCTCGTCTCGTCCTCCTCCTCCTCCTCCTCCTCCTCCTCCTCCTCCTCCTCCTCCTCCGCCTCCTACTCGTCCTCCTCCTCCTACTCGTCCTCCTCCTCCTCCTACCCTCCTACTTCTGGCGGCGAGCCCAGTGGGAAAAAGGGGCGGGGCGGGCCTTCTCAGAAGGCTCAGAAGTCTCCCTGAGAAATGTTATAAGCCTTCCCCGAAGACACAGAACACTTCTCAGGGGCTTAGGGCTTCCGAGAAGCCCGTTCCCTTCTGAGAAAGCCTTCTCACTATCATTTCCCCCCCTCGCCCGCCGCCGATCCTTGTCCCCCTCCTCCTCCACCGTCATGGCGACAGCCCCCCGAATTGATCACGACGTTCACCGACTCTATGTCGATGCCGCGCGTGAACAAGTCCGACGACACCAGACACCTGCACGCCCCGTTGCGGAAGTCGTGGAACACCTGGGGGCGGCCGAGGATGGGCAGGAGCAGCGGCTCAGCACGAGGAAAGCTGCGTCGTGGTGCTGATGCCGATCGTCACGAGGGCAGCGCCGAGCTTCCAGGCGCAACAAAGACTGTGCTTCGAGGGGCGAGTGAACGTTGCGCTTCGAGGGACGAGTCGCGTGCACGGAGCAGGCCCGGACTTCTCTCCATGGGTCAGCAGTGGCTGCGGTTGCAACCTGGCGCTCCTCCTGTGGCGCTCGACCCTCCCCATTTACCCGCTTTCTCATGCTCCTCCCTCCTATCTGCTCCCTCGCCCCTCTTCATCCTACCCCGCCTCCAAAGCTGTCCGTTTCTAGCAGGCACCCTTCTGGGCACACATCCTCTCCGAATGGAGAGGGAAAGCCGACGACGAGAAGAAAGACGAGGGGAAGCCGGGAAGGACAGGGGGAGGAGCCGGGATGACGAGGAGGCGGCGGCGGCGGAACTCGAGGGGCCTCTGGGGCAATTGCACCTGGATGGCAGGACCTAGCCAGCGCGTGTTAAGTGGCCCTGAAGAATCCTGAGGGGTGCCCGTGCAATGCACACAGACCGAGACACGAATGCCCTCTATGCACTCTTGGCTCAAGACAGGACAGCCCCATCAGGGACGACTACACGATGATGAAGAGGAGCAGGAATAAGAGTAAGACAAGGAGGATAAGAAGGAGGATGACGAGCAGGAGGGGGAGGAGGAGGAGGAGGAGGAGGAGGAGGAGGAGGAGGAGGATTTTTTTTTTCCTCCTCGGGCCATACGCACGCGGCTCTGGCCGATCACCCTCCAGGTGGGGTGGCCTGACGGTGCCTGGGCGTGCCGAGGCGGCGGGGACCCAGGGCAGAGACCGCCAGGCGAGTGGCCCCTCACAAGCCCGCAGCACCACCGAGATGGCGGTGGGGGCTTGGACTGGGCCTAGTCCGAATCGTCCTCGCCGAAACCCACGGGAGGGATGAGCGGTTCCTCATCCTCCTCTTGGCGCGGGCTGGATTGCGGCTGGCGCAACAGTCTGGCCTCGGGCCGCTGTGGGCGAGGCACAGGGTGTGGGGCTGGCGGGCTCGGGAGCGGCGTAGCAAAACGCGCTGCTGCTCTCTCTCTCTCTGCGCGCGCTGCTGCCTTTGAATTTCTGCGGTGTTGTACCGCTCGGACTCTGAAGCAAAAAGACGAAATCTCGGATGCTTGCCATCCAACAGACGATTTCTCACATTCGCGCGTCCACCACTTTTGGGAGGCCTTCCAGGACATGTGGCGGGCAAACCTCTGAAAGCGTACTGGGCATAACGCCCACAGACTAAGCAGAACACAACAGGCGTGGCAAAGTGCGCAATCGCCATCTGATGGCTGGCGTGAATGGCTTCTAGGCCACGTCGATATGCGCTGGCAAGAGGTTGGCAGGCCTGCCTCTCGCGCGCGACTGCGGCCTTATACGATCGGGCGTACGTAAAACATGCTCTGCACCTGTACGGTATCGGCCCCTGCAGAACCTCCCAGTCGTGGACGACGATGGAGGCCTGAACCTTACAGGGCAAAGCGGCTCTCTCGCTCTTGTGCCTGTTGCGCTGGCACAAAGCGAGAACTCTGGGCGCATATAAGGCAATCGCTCGAGCGGCCTCGACCTTGCGCTGCAAATCCTGCACCGCGGTCGGGTCAAAGCTGGGGTGACAGTCGACGGCGGCTTTCGCCGTCTTATCTGCTGCTGCATTGATCTCCGCCGCAAGTCTGGCCTCTCCAGCCAATGATTCTATATCCTGATGGCTCTTGACCTTAGAGGCCGTCTCGAGGTGATATCTGCTATCCCGCGCAAGCGCAAGCTTGTGCAGGCCTGAATACTTGAGCTTACTACTGAGACGCGTCGGCAGTGGCCTAGCATGCTGATCTAGGACCGCTTTGCAGTCCACCCAAGTCTTCGAGGGTTTCGTGAGGGCCTCCTGGAGCACCAGGAAGCCCATGTGCTCCCCAGCCTGGGAAGTCTGGGGAAGGTTCGCAGCAACAGCGCCATAAAAGGAGGCCTCTGGGGCCCCGTCGGTACTGTAAGCCACTACCGAAAACGTCGCTCTGTCTAACTCCGCTATGCCTGTCTTGGTGCACGACCCGTCGGTTCCCGTGAGCCCCCCAAAGTCTGGTACCGTGTCTGGCTGACCGTCGTGTCTAACGAATCGAACGATAGGATCCTCTCTAGGCAGCGGAAAATCATCATGCTGTTCCCCTGGGTGCTCGAAGATACCGAAGCAGTACAGGGGGCTATTCTCTGGCGCCTCCAGCGCAGCCTGCAGCACGTCTGGCGGCAGCAGCTCTGTCCTGCGGGCAACTACCTCTGGATGCTGACAAGTAAAGAGACGGTGGTGTATGGTGTCCCCGAAGGCTTTACAAAGCGGGCACTCATTAGGCACGTCGTAGCCTATCTGAGCGAGTTTTTCTTCGGTCCACCATCCCTGGACCACGAGAGTTTGGAGAATGGCCTTAAACCTGGGGGAGAGTTTCTTGCTTTTGGGGGAAAGCAGAGTACGAACAACATCAAAACAAACTCTCTTCATGGGGGCTGGGCTGGGCATGCTCTTAGCAGCTAGTGTTCCCCACCTCCTCTGACATCCTCGGTGCAGCAGGTCGGCAAGCAGGCTCGGCGAGGTGTCAGTGAGCCTGACCGTCCTGCCGAAATGGTCCTGCAGCGTAAAAGCGGACGTGAAACTCCAGCCGATTCGGTGAAGTGCGCGAGCTGCCGCACTGAGTGGTCCTCGCACGGCGTTATAACACAAGTGCCCTATTGGCTGCACGTTGTTATATATCTGCTTGAGTTCAAGAAGGCCGAGGGTCCCTGGGGTCGCGTACTTGCCGAGGGTGGTGTGCCGCACTTCATGGGCCCACCTGAGAACGGGCCCTAAGGCCCAACGGTCAGCCCTGGACCCCGTGACGGCGAAGGCCGCACTCCTGGATTTCTTGGAGGAGCAGGGCGTGATTTGCGCAATCTCCAGAGACTGCAGCATATACAAAGACTTGTTACTGAGACCGTCGACGGCGGCCCCAAAAGCACCGTCGGGGAGGAGACCCGTAGTGACAATCTTGCGACATTTCTGTCCAGCGGTAGCGGTGAGCTTACGCGGGCGTTGCCCTCTGACCGTAGCGGTTCTGAGCCTGACCTTGCGCTTGGCGGCTGCGCCGTTACAACCGAAGGATTTGCCAGCCGTAAAATCGCAACCTAAGTTAGTGGCGACCGCTTGGAGCTTGCCCCCTGTGGCCCCGAGGGCAGACGTGAGCAGCCTGGCTAACGACACCGACGACGCGACGACAGCTCCTTTATGGACAGCTATCCTGGCCTCTAAGTCTATCTCGATGAGACGGGCTAGCTCCTTGGCGGCACTGACTATACGCTTGAGCACTCTGACCGTGGTGCCGTGACAGGTGATGGACAGGTCGTCCAAATAGAAATCGAAATAGACGGCCGAGTGCAGCGATGTTATTCGCAAGAAGGCATCAAAGCAATAGATCCTGACATAGAGGATGCAGAAAGAACAGCCCGCCACTATGCCGTTGGTGGCTGCGATGGGCAGAGCCACACAGCGCTTCCACGCTATGTGTCTCCACGAGCCGTAACCTGCAAGGTGATAGGCGAGCAGAGTCTCAGGAAAACCTAAAGCGAGCGCTCGAGCCCGCAATTTGTCGCGCTTGAAGCGTTCAAAGAAGGCTTCCATATCCCAGAGAACACCAGCAGAGGCCCCTCCGCCCGAGACGGCCCCTTCAGCTCTGAGACTCTGCCGCCATACCACGTCGACTGATGATCTGCCTGCGCCACAGGCAAACCAGGAGTAGTCGTGCTTAGCGATCCAGTCCTGCGCGAAGGGCAAGCGCAGCTTGCCAGTGAGTCTGTACATCATGGGGAAGATACCGATGGGCCTGTAGCCGCCAGTGACTTTGCGGAGGAGCGCCACGAGGACCCACTGGAGCTGTCCTGGAAGTTCCCCAAGAACCTCCGAAATGTAGATGAGTCTGGCGAAGGCCTCGAGGGCCTCATCGGATAACATACTGAGGTGCCTCATGTGGAACCCGCCGAGGGAAACGGCTGACGACTTAGAGTAACTCTTAGAGAGGTCCCTGAGGGCGTCCACAGAGGGGATCCCAATGGGCTCATGGAGGTCGTTGTCCCTGTGGAGAGGCTCAACGGCGGGCTCCCAAAAGTTCCCAAACTTGGCCTTGTAGGTGTCCAGAGTGCTCTGTATGGAGGCCGTGAGCTTACCCTCTATGACCACCGTGTCGGGCTCCCATTTGGTGCGCTCCTTAATGAACTTGTGTGCGGCCTTGGCCCCCTTGTCGAGGGCCTTGTCAACCCACTCCTTCCAAGAGCTGGCGTTGGCTGATCGCGCATCTGAGAGGACCTTCTTAGCAAGCGCGTCAGCCCTGGCCTTGAAAGTGAACAGCTGCGCGACGGTGGCGGCTAGCTTGCCGCGACAAAAAGCTTCGGCCTCGAAATCTGCGTGCACGGGCTTGAGATACTGCTGGATATCTGTGAGGAGTATGCGCGTGCTCTCGTGCTGCATCACATGCTTAGGCGTGGCACGCACTACGCGGGAAATTAGATCGAATACTGCCGGCCTAGACTCTCTGCCGATCGCCTTCCCCACAGTCCATTCCTCCTCCTCCTCCAAGTAACTGGCGAGGCGGTGCGTGCGAATGGCAATCCAGCTCGGCGCAGTGGGAAAGAGGCCGTACTGCTTGTGAGCTTTCTCGTTCTTGGTGACTGCTCGGAGTACTGGCTGGGGGGCTCTTGCTCTCAAGCCTGACTTGTGAACCTTGCTGGCCGTCCGCTGCGCTAGCTCGAGCTCGGCGGCGTTGGCCCAGTGCGCGTAGGCCGAGGCGAAGCCTTCGCGCAAGACTGCCTTGGAATGGTTACCTATAGCAGAGATAAGACTACCTACGTGATCTGAAACTTTATTCCAAGAAACGGTGCTGGGATGAACAATATCCTCATCCTCTTCATCCTTGTCGAATGAGGAGGGGAGGGCAGGGATGGTAGGGAATTGAAGGACCTTGACCTCTCCAAATTCTGGTGGCAGATCCAGCACAACAGGGAAATGTGGCCTAGCATCCCAGTCGAAATCGACATCAATGGCTCGCACAGCGTTCGCTAGCTGCTGCTCGACAATGAACATATCTATGACTGAACAACTGGCTGTGCATGTGCCCATCGAGCACACCGGTGCGAAGAGCTGACCCTTGATATAATTGCAGAACTCCGAATGCTCAAGCTGGTCCTGAGTAATATTGAAGTCTCCTGCTATGATGTACTGCAGCCCCGAGACCTTGACCAAATCGGCAATAGCCTCGAGGATGGCGACATTGTTTGGCGAGAAGCCTTGACTCACGTGCCCATACAAAGATAGACAGAGGATGCCCGAGGTCTGGGGGAACTCCACAACGACTCCAAGGACTCGGTGTGGCACCAAAATTCCTCCAGGGGGCCCCACGGGTTCCTCCAGAGCGTAACACCCAAGATCATCGGCAACGAAGATAGCGACCCCAGCTGACGAACCTACTTCCCCTAAACCGTTCGTTGAGGGGGCAAAAGAGGTAGCGGCAACCGACGGGGCCCAAAAACTCTTCCAGCCGTGCCTTATGGCCCAATCTGAGGCCTCGGCTATGCTTAAATCAGAGACTAGGTGCACCTCCTGAGCAAACAAAACTTTGGTGGGTCCCCACGCAAGCTCAAGGAGGCGCTTCTTGAGGGAGCCCCAAGAAGACCCATTAAAAGACTCGAAACGGGTGCTGTCGGGAGTAAATGAGTGGAGGGAAGTAAGGGAGGCCTTCCCAGCACTGGCTGATGCTGGTTTGGCCGCAGGCGAAACTGGCTGGCAGTCAGCTTCAGTCGGGGAAGCACCGCAAGTCGCCGTAGCACAGCGCTCAGTTGATGCTGTCCTCGAAGTCGGAGTGGAACCGTCACCCATACGGCCGGTGGCCGCGTCCGCTGCCAGGTCCCTTGCTCGACGGGCTGACCAGCTGGCGCGCGGCTGCGGCCTGCTGGTCCTGGATCGTCGCACGGGCCTTCTGCAGGGCTTCGAGCTCCTTCTTGGGCACATGCTTGGCAAGGGATTCCATCTCGGCTTTGAAGAATTCTGAATCGAACATCGGGGTGTCCGTAATCGATGGAGATGGCGGGGGCGGTGGTGTTGCCTTCTCAGGCAAGGCCCCCACCATGCTGGACATGTCGTTGATAAATCTGAGGATTTCTGCATTGCCTGCAAACTTGGTCTTGGCCTCAGCGATCTTGGCCTTGGAGGTCTTGGTGAACTCCGCGAGCGGGCCAGGTCCTTCATCGGGGGCAGTGTCAGCCCAGACTGACTTGGCGTCCTGCTCCTCGCGCTGCTGGTCCTCCTGGGCCCGCTCGAGGCGCTTCTTCTGTTCTTCCATGGACTGGTTGGTAGCGTCGAGCTGCACCTGCAGCTCTTGCTTGGTCTTCTCCAGCTCTGATATCTGGTGCTTGATCTTCTCAACTTTCTCGGCCGCGCGCTGCACGCGTGTGTGGCAGCGCGCCATGCGCTGTGCGGGCGGCAGGCTGGCGGCCTGCGCCGCGCGCGCGTCCACCAGGTCCGCTCGGGCCTGCTGCAGCTTGGCGGCCACATCGGGCATGACGGTGGCGTCCATCTGCTGATAGGTGTTGACGAGAAGTTCGAGCTGCTCGATCTTCTTGTCTTTGTCGTCGGTGGCAGGCGCCTCTGGTGGGGGCGCTGCCGTGTCCTTGCCCTTGCCTGTGCCACGCGATCCTTTCCCGTGGCCAGGCTGGCTTGCTGCTGGCGGCTGGGCTGAGGCGGCGGCCGCTGTGATGGCGGTGACCTGCTTGGCGATGGCATCCAGCAGCTGCTGCGAGAGCCCAGCGGCGCCGCCTGCGCCGCCCGCGCCCATGCCGCCGCCTGCGCTCTTGCCACCGCCCTTGCGGCGACTGGCTCCACGTTGAGGTTGATCACCCTTGTTGTAGTAGAGCCCGCAAAGATGACACCACTGCTTGCCGCTAGCAATAGGAGTCCAAGAGCGCGGGCCACATTTCTGACACTGAACCCACGCAGCCTGCCCTGTAGCCTTCGCCATGGCGGAGGAAGGGCCGTACTGTCAAACTGCTCCTGAGGGAGAATGTTGAGTACCGAATGTGGCACCGCCAGGTGCTCACTAGCTGAAAGAGATGCTCACAGGCTGACCCCTGAGACGCGGGCCGAGCCAGACCTGGAGCGCGCAGTTGGCCCTGCGCCACCTCGAGAGATGGCAACTTGAGCCAAAATGGCTTGAGCCAAAATGGCTTGAGCCAAAATGGCTACGGACGGAGGAGGAGGAGGAGGAGGAGGAGGAGGAGGAGGAGGGGGAGGAGGAGGAGGAGGAGGAGGAGGAGGAGGAGGAGGAGGAGGAGGAGCAACATGAAAAGGAGAAATGGGCATCATTTTGAAGGGAAGGGCAATAAGAATGAAGAGGCTCGCCGGACGGCACCGAGACAGCCCACGAGGGCCTCAAAGTCGGCCCAAGAAGCCTCCCAAGAGGGCTCCACAGGCTACCAAGAGGACCCCAAGAGGGGGAATACAAACTACATCTCGAACCCTTCCCCGAAAGGTGGCCCCCGAGACCGCAAGTAGATCCCCCAGAAGTCCCCGGAGGCGCAAAAGGCCCCCCAAGAGGCCCCGAGGTGCCTGACGAAATCCTAGAAATGACGCCAAGCGGCCGCCGAGAGGCCTCCCGGAGACCCTAAGAAACCTCCCAAAGAGGCGTCTTATTGCTTCGTAGATTCAATTCGCCCAACACTGTGGCCTCGTGGACACATCGCCAGCTGTTTTGACGCATTTCGGACCCTTCGCCGCCGCGCAAAGATACCCCCCCCTTCACTGCAGCTCCAACGTAGCCTCGGCGCGTCCATGACCGCACAATATGGCCCCAATCGCAACCCAAACCCAAACCGCCAATCTCGCAAAACAGCCACAACGACAAAATGAGCCGCAAGCAAGCGCCGACGAGTCCTGCGCACGAGCCCGAATCTGGCCCCCCAGAAAAGGCCCCGTGGATGGCAACCCGCCGACAGCACCTGCAGGTCCAGGGCGTCTCTACACCGCTGAAGTCGGCGAGACGGCGTCCTCGAACCCTGTGCCCCGAGACGCCCATGAGTGCTCACGCAACACTTTGAGGAAACTATCAGTGCCCAAACAACCGGACAAACGCCAGCGATGAAACAGTCTGGGCCGGCGGAGTGACACACCTATACGACCACCATCCGGGTGATAAGGAAGCTGGGGGGCGAGGAAAACCAACTGAGGACAACTGCGATGTTTGTGAGTGCGGTGATGCTGGTGCCACACTAACGAGTTGACGAGGGCGCAAGACGGCGATGCTGACGACAAAATGCGTGATGGCAACGGTTCAACACACTGGTGATGCTGGCGATAAAGTACGATGGCGATGACGACGGTGGCAACGGTGGCAACTGCTTGGCCCCATGCTCCTGTGACGATGACTGTGGCGATGAGGAGTGTGATGATGAATGTGGTGGTGACGAATGTGGTGGCGAGTGCGGTGGTGAGTGCGAGGGATCGTGGTGGTGATGTTGTGATGATGACAGCGGCGACGGAGGTGTTGAGTACGATCGGGGCACCATCGGGACACCATGGGGCCAAATAAACGGCACCACCACTGCGCCGTGATGGTTGATTGCTGAGTGTGATGGTTGCATGTTGATGGCCATGTGATGATTGTCCTGTGCTCGCGCCATCGTCTCCAAGTGAACTGCGCGCCACTGGCGGCGGCACCGAAGGCGCTGGCCGGTTGGACTCGGTGAACGAATCGGTGCCAGCACGGCTCAGAGCCTGGCAAAACCTGGGCCACAGAGGCTGGCACAAAGTGAGCCTTGTTACAGCTTGCCCCTGCTCCTCCGAGCTCGCTGCTGCTGGAGCGCGCACTCTTCGCGCATACATATCTTGCGCGGCCTACCCACGTGCTGCACACGGTGTGCAGCACGTGAGCAGGCCACACCAGCTGGCCTGCCGCTTTGGCTATAGAGTCACACTGTGATCCCACGTGCTGCCTTTTGGCTTGGGCCGCATCACGATCCCAATTGGGCCTGAAGGAACGCTGCCGTGTTTGAGCCAGCGTTTGGCACAAACGGTGTGACACCAGTGCGCCCGCACCAGAGGCAGACCCACACCGAAGCCCGACGTTCAACAGGCGCGCGGCCAGGCTGGAACGCGCACGTCTGCCCCCTGCCGCGGTGGCAACGGCGCCGCCACGCTGCACGCGCCTTTGCGTGTGCGCCGCGGCTTCGCTCCCGACGGCCTGCCTGGCGGAGCTTGGGCTGGGCCGTCGGCGGGCCCGCAACGAGGCGCCAGACGCGCGCCCAGATACCAAAACACATCATCAAGACACCACTGAGGCACCATCGGGACACCAATCGAAACGCCAACCGCTACATCTTCAGGACATCACGAGGACACCATCGGAACACTAATCGGGGCACCTACCGGGACACCACCAGGACACCATCGAGACACCATCGACACATACACACACGGGCCACCATCAGGACACCAATCGGGACACCAATCGCGACACCCACGGGACACCAATCGGGACAACAATCGGAGGACCGACTGGACACCGACCAGACACCGACTGGACATCGACGGCGGGACACCCACGGGACACCAACGGGACACCGACGGGGCACCCACAAGACACCACGGTACACCGACGGGACACCGACGGGACACCGACAGGCCTCCGACGGGACACCGACGGGACACCGACGGGACATCGACTGGACACCGACAGGACATCACGGCGGGACACCCCTGGCCACCGCCCGCGGACACCGACGAGACACCGCAGGAACACCACGGCGGGACACCCCTTGCCACGCCGGCCCACCAAAGGGGTGGTCTTTTGTCTTGACCCGCTCTAGCCACAGCGGAGTCATTCCTCTGGCACGCCCACGCAGCTTCGCCTCGTCCGCACGCCCGAGTCGTGCGTGCGGACGAAGCGAACGGGTTCGTGTCGTCGACACGAACCCGAAACCGAAACCGATTTCCCAGTGGGGGGGTCTCCTTTCCACTTCGATCTCACCCCCCAGCCTCCGAGAATAACATTGATAACAGTAACACGACGAAGATGCGGAGGAGCAGCAGTACGACCAAGACGATGAGGAGCAGAAACAGGCAAAGGATTTGAGAGGAGAAGGAGTGAGACGAGGAGCAGGACTTGGAAGTGGATAGTGCAGGTAGAGGATAAGGTAGAGGACAGACGCCTGGCTACCGTGGCGGCAATGGTGACCGAGGCGTCGGCGCAATGGCAATGACTAGGCGATCAAGTCATGAGCTCTAACTGCGACATAGCAACCTAGGCCCTCCAACTACCCACTCTCCATATCCAGAGCCGAGCCTTGTTGCGGTGCGACTGGTACATGCGCGAATGGATAAAGAAGCAGGAATCCGCGAGCCCCGACGGACGGGGGCTGATCCCAGCGCGCTGACGAAGCATGCAATGCTGCGGTATAGGGACGAGGCCAAGGGACCCCGAGACACAATATTGAAGGGTACGTGCGGCGAAAGCGAGACGGAGAGGCGGCCGAAAACGTCGCCATGCTGCAGTCGGCATCCGGGTGATCAGTGGCGCGCCATTTCAGCCCACATGTGCAGGGCTCTCCAGGAGACGAGTCACGCCTCTCCACTCAAGCCGACCTGGCCTGCGCTTGCAAACCGAATCGGCATGCGAACGCAACGACGCCAGAAGTGCTCTCCCATGTAAGACCCACGCTCCGACGACCACGTGGGTAACAAACAGGTGCTGATCGCTGGTGTCGCCATCGGGACCGCACGCGGGGGGCGATCCGACCAGCATCTCGAGGTAGATCCAGCAGCTGCGACGTCCCCCAAGAGGGCGCAAAGAGCCGAGAACGAAGGAAAGGTATCGGCTCGGCGGGTTCATACTGATACGACTTGTAGGGAATCGAACTCCATACACCGACGCTTTTCCGGCCCTGCATTGAAATTTGTACTGGAGAGCGGGTCCTGGTGTACACGGGACTCTGGTGTATACATTTTTCGTTCTTTCCCCAGGGCATCGGGGAAAAAAGTATACACCACACCACCCCAGCGTCGTCCCCGACCCTCAAAGAATCCTGGGATTGAAAAACGGCCGCCACTGGTAATGTATATGTTCCAATGTCTGAACTTGGGCGTTGGTTTCCGACACCGCGCGGATCGTTCAACCTTGAGCGATCGCGGCACTCCAGCAGCGCAGGCCGCTCGATGGCCGCTTCCGGGCCACTGGCGGCATTCATCCTTGCACGCCCGCGCTGGGGACACCGCTGTGTCGACGCGACACGAACCTTCTGTATCGGTTGGTTTTTCCTATGACCAAGTCCGCTTCTGCCCCCTGTCCTCGTGCACGGTGGGTGCGAGGGTCCTCGCGGAGGCCAAAAAGCCCTGTCGAATGGAGGAGGTGAAACCTATGTAGAGGCTGCTTCCGCGGCGACGACGACAGCGAGTCCTGTTTAAAATGGGCAGTACCAATTCCTGGGCAACCGCCGATCTGCCTTTTTCAAGCCGCGGCCCCGAGAAGGTCCCGCCCGCTTCCCCGGGGGTAGTTTTTCGCCCCCAATGCATCTCTGACGGCCCTGGGACACGAGACTGGTCTTAGGTCCGGCATGTCCTCCTACAGGCGGATGTTGAAGGACAAAGTAAACAAATAATCAAGCATTACTCACAAATATCCAAAGGAGCACGACCGATCGTCCCCAAACTATGTTCTGACCATTCTCGAATGTTCCTCCTGTAGAGGGACATGCCCGACTTGAGACTGGTCCCCAGAGGCCGAGACCGAGGAGAAAGGTCAGGATCGGAAAAATCGTATCGTCTGAGACCCAGGTTTCGATCGCACCAGCACGCGGCCCCCAGGTCCCAGCGCGCGCTAGAACGCGTCGGCCCTCGCCTGAGAAGCGAGGGCGGATACCCGAGCTCCAAAATGAAGGCCGCCAAGGGGCCCGGATCAGGCTCCTTGGGAAGCCCCGAGAAGCCTTCAAGACACGCCAGACAAACCACCCCCGAGAGGCCTTCGAGAGG